AACAAGAGAAAACGTTTTCACCACCTATCTATACTTAGCCAGAAACAGTGTACAAGTTGTAACAAGTAAGCTTGGATAGTTTAAATGAATTTTTTGTTAAAACACAAAATAAAATATAACTCTATCAAATTTATACAAATGAATGACTCAATTTTCCCTTGTTTTTATTCACTCAATGAATGTTAGATAATGGTAATAAACAAGGAGTTTCATTACTATAAAGAATATAACAGTTTCTGATGTAAAAGTACAAGACTTTGACTAAAATATCATGCATAATCCATACACTTTGTTTCAAAACAATGTCGCTACAGCAATTTGAAAACTAATGACTTGTCGTCCAATAATATATCCGCATCAGTATATCAACTAAGGAAAGTTCTCTTACTTACTTGTCAATCACGTACCTTCTACTTTAAATTAAAAGTAACTAATCTCTTTCTTAGTTGTGTTTTCAGAATCCTAATTGATGTGGAATCCTATAAAATATTTAAGAACTGTAACACTGAAGAAAAAGAATTTCTATATAGCTCCTATATTTAATAATAGTCGGCATAAATCCATAGACTCAACCTCGAACAAAAGAATACTCATTCGAATCATAGTCAATAAACTGATCTCCTACTTAGGACTGGGCCATATTGCCTGATCATTAAACAGTAACTAATACCAAACCTTTTATTTTCATGTCTGACGGAACTCCTAACCCTGTTTGTCATTATGATCCTTAATATGTGTGAATATACATAGTAGTATCTCATAATTCATGTCTGTAAATTACAGGAACTGCTTTGATTAGTTAAACCCTGAATATAAATATAAATTCATCAGATCTTAAGTACTTGCTTTTATCATATCTTTCCTATCTATTGTCTTTAAATTCAAATTCATCTTGTCAATTTAAGCCGTTTTTAAGTTTACTGAATAAATATTTACTTTAATCTATTCATAGATGGTACATTGATCTATCTAGTGTTAATATATTCCATCACATTTTCATCTGATAAAACATTTGGTTACTTTAGTTGTTTTATTTTTCTAAAAATACACAACTACACAAATATAATCATAATTATTTTAAGTTAAATATTATTAGAATTGTTGCCTATTCATATAATACATATATACATATGTACATAACAGATCAAACAAGCATATAAACTAAAACATCAAGGAAAACGGAAATCTTTAGATTTTTCTACGACCTACTTATCTCCTTCCTTTTTATGGTCTTCCCTATAATCTAATTCATCTATTATTCCATCCTTCACTGTTCATAATAATAAAACTATTACTATCGCTACTACTACAGGGAAGTGTGGCTGCTGGTTGGAAAAGAATTTCGATAACTCGGTAGGTCGACCGAGCTACGAAGGTCAGCACCGGAAAAATTGACATTTTGACGGGAGCGTGTCACAGACTGCAGCAAAGAAGAAAGTGGCATTGAGAGCAGAGCAACCTCAAGAGCGACCGTTTAAAGAGGGGCGAATTTGATGTTTGCTACTTATGTCGTTATAAGTAGTATGTAACACGAATCGGAAATGGAAAACCTGGCAGCAGAATGTTGGGATAATTGAATCGAAGAGAACGGGAACAAAGAGTAACTTTAAGATAAATGATGTAGGATTTGCAAGTGAAGCATTGAACGTATGGTTTCCACTTTTGACGAAAGAACCCTATAATTTTGTATCAAAATACAGTTGGTTGTCCCCACTTGAGTTCTCGTTCACAACACCAATACTATTATTATTACTAATCAGCAGTACTGGGATTAGGGTTTTTTACCATTTATTTCCTTTGGAACCATTTTACATTTAAAATATACACTAAAATACTTATTTTATGGGTACCTATCATGAACTATGCATAATGTAAGTGTGAGTAACAAAAAATGGCTAAATCTGAGATATTTTTTATTAAACGATATATGAGAGTTGTCATATAAATATATAGCAGATAACTTGGTATTCATTCAAAATAGTGGCACCTAATTAGTTGAACACATCTAAACACTTGCATAAATTATGAAATCTGTTGTATTAATATTTTCCATTTTATAGGATTACCAGGTACATATTAAACATTGCAATATGTAAACTGATCATATTTTGTAAACCAGAGTTTTAACTAAACTATATGTTTAAACAGTCACCGTAAAAATAGAGTTACTTCATGTTACAAGTATCCATTTAAAAGCGATTCTTTAACCAACTAGTATGATTAGTTTTATAAGCAAAGATGGATAGTTGCTAGCAGTTTAGTCCAGGACGCGCGTCTCGTCCTATTTGGGATTCGTCAGATGGATGTGCTCGCATCTCAGAGTTGAAATTCACTCCAGGACTCGTTGGTGTTTGAAACGAACGGTATTGGGTTCGAGTCCTAGAGTGAACATCAATTTTGAGATGCGGATACATCCAGCTGATGAGTCCTAAATAAGACAAAACGTGCGTCCTGGATTCCACTGTTAACCACTATCCATCTTTGCTTATAAAGCTTGTAACTTAACGTAATATCAAGACAATCCGCACAGGATGCACATTAACCAACAAGAAATTGATAGATTGCAATCCTAAACAACAATGGGAAGATACAAGCAAACAACACCTGGTGAATTTAGTATGACTAGTGTTTTTTTTCTTTAATTTTCTACGAAACATCTTCAAAAGTATATTTGTTCAATTGAATATTGTAATATACTATTTATTCACTAGAAACGTCTTAGTCTAAAGATGTTAATGATAAATGTTAAACTGTGTATACAATTTTCTACATATACATAATTAAAATCTATTCCAATTTAGTTTAGTTTCAGTAGGCTAATGCTATAGCTTAGTCATAATTCAAGATACATATAGACATGATTATTAAATCACTAGCAATTCGGCATAAAGGTAACATTGAAATAATTAGAAAAATGTTCAATTAACGATTAAATTCATTGTTTAATTAATTGAACAGATATTAAAGTATAACGGTTAAAAAGAATAAACAATTGTAATAGTTCAGTAATAATAATTAAAAGTTCACTTGGTATTATTTGGCTTGTATCTTCCCATTGAGGTTTAAGACTGCAATTGATCAGTCTGTTATTGGCATTGTGAATACTGTGCGTATGCCTCGATATTGCCTTAATTCACAAGCTTTTTGTAAGCAATGATGGATAGTGGCTGGCAGTGGAATCCAGGACACATATGCCGATAGCAGACTGATCAATTGCAGTCTTAAACCTCAATGGGAAGATACAAGCCAAACAATACCAAATGAATTTAAATTCACCCCATTCCACAAGCAAGTGGCTATCAGAACTCAGTAGCTGAGTGGATAATGCAATGGCGTTTGACGCGAATGGTCTTAGGTTCGAGTCCCAGAGTGAACATCAACTCGGAGATACATCCAGCTGACGAGTCCCAAACAGGACGAAACTCGCGTCCTGGATTCCACTGCTACCTAATAATTAAAAGTGTTCAATATATAGTATTGAATTAAAAGTAGAATTATGTTATTTTGTGAATGAACATATGCATGTACTTTAATTGTACACATTTACATTTTTTCATTGAGGATTTTTAATTATTCTACTAATCAAATTATTGTCTTTGTTGTCAATACTTATTTTCTTAATAGCCAATAAGGAAAATAACTTTGTATTGAACTATCTATCATTAATCATTCTCTAAATAAACACTTAGTTGTTAGAGTTTTAAATGTAAAGTTATCATAAACAGTATCATATCTACTTCGTTTCTACTTGATATTATCATTATTTTATTAATTTCTTGTTCTATTTCAGTTAAACTTGCTTAGATCTAAATTATATCAGTTAGAAATTCATAGAGAATGAATGTTCATCGTTTAGTATTTGTAAAGAAATCTTTTCAAAACATCTCACAAACACAATTGGTTATTTCAGAGATTTCAAAATGCTTACAACACAAACTAAGTTTTGTTTCATCAGATTTCGTACTTTTACCAATAACAGACATACGGTATTATACATAGTAACATAAGTAAAATCTAAAATTATCTATTCTGATATCTAGGTGATTTGGAGGTAAAGTGTTCGTGAGCAAGACTAAAGGTTCTTGGTTCGGTTCCTGGATGCGGGATCGTAGATATACACTGCTTGGAAGTCTCACTTTGAGACGCAACGGTCGTTCAGTGCCTCCTAGCTAATATCAGTTCGTAATTTAAACTATGGAAATATAAAACAAGCAACACTGGTCTATAGAAAATGAAATAACATGGATAATATCCATTTTAAGATAAATATGACAGAGAAAAGAGTTTTGCAAACTATTACCTTTAATATACTCAATATCGTTTTTATTTTTTATTTATTGTTAGTTAACAATAATAAAAACTCATGATTTCAAGTGTAAAAATGCCACGATTTTCACAAATCCTTGGGCTGATAACGCTCATCTGCTCACCAGTTACTAGCTTCAATATGTAACAACTGGAGTTCAAGTGAAAATTCATTACTAGTAGAGTTCAGTCCGTATCGGGTGTGAGACAGTTGTCCACTTCAGGCAATGAATGAATGGTTGCACAAGATCATGGTTTGATTGAAGTTAAATATTAATACCTCTGGATGCCGATCTGGTGGTCTAGAGGTTAAGCATTTGTGCGTAAAACCGAAGGTCCTGGGTTCAAGTCCCTCTTGTGGGATCGTGGATACGTACTGCTAAGGTGTTCCTTACTAAGACAAGACGGTCGGCCAGTGCTTTCAGGATTTCAATGGTCGCCTAGCTTAGATCGACTCGTGATTTCAACTGTGAAAATACTACAATCTCCACAAATCCCCATACATATTACTATGAGTTAAATATACCGCATGACCAATAATAATTGTACACGTACTTTGTAAAGATACCTGTCAACTTTTTAAATGGTCACGTAAGAATTGAGTCCTAATCATGATTAAGTAATTCTGAATAAAATCCTCGAATTAGTTGGTTATAATCATACCATTATTACCGTTCTCCTTATATTTTCAACAGTCTCCTTGTGGTTCAAATATATCATTCCCTAAATACTCGGACACTTCTCTCCCTATGTCACATCAAACACAATCGATAACAGGGATAAGTCAAAATAATCAAGAAATTATTCAATTATTACAGTCTATTATTCAAAACGGTAATTCTCAAAATGCAAATTTACATAATTTAAATTTACTAACTCAACTTCTACAATTACCAATTAAACCGGATGGATCAAACAATGTTTGGAGTTCAGTTATTCAACAACTAACTAAACAATTACATCAGTCCTATCAACAACAACAACAACAACAACATAATAATAATAATAATAATAATAATAATAATAATAATAATAATAATAATAATAGTAATAATGATAATGAACACATACCTAGTATAAATAGTAGTAGCAATTTCATTCCAGAAAATACAATCCCAGAAATAAAAACAGAGTCTGTATGGACAGATGATATAAACACACAACAAAATATTAAACTGCCAAGTAACTCAATGTCATATATACAGTCGACTAACAGACCAACGAATACACCTATAGTAAAAATTCAAGATAATACAATGACAGGAAATGTAGAAAATGTAAATCAAAATTCAAAAATAGAAGTTGGAAAATTAAATCCGTATGAAATGGAACCAACACATGAGACTGTTAAAAGTAACCATAACCTATGGTCAAATCCTGGTTCATATAATAATGTAAATCAAGCTGTTAATGCCAATATAGGATATTCAAGACAAGTGACTAATGTATCAAGATTATTAAATGTAAGTTTTTTTAAAAATAAAGATTCATTAGAAGATAGATGATAACAATCGAAAGAGGGATGTTGAATAAAACAATACTTTCATGTGATTCAGATCGACTCGAAAATACAGTCAAAAGACTAAGTTTAAATCCAGTATCCGTTATTGAGATAACTTAGATTCGGTTAGTCATCACTGACGGTAATGTTTTAGTGAGTTTAAAATATTCATGGTACCCAGTAGTATGTGGCGTATAAACTGGATTTCTTTTTAATATCAATTCGGTCTCATATTTATCAGTTAGTAAACCAAGTAAATAATAAAGAATAAACATGGTTGCTGTTAAAAAAAATAGGATAACATCAGTTATAAAAACACCAAAAACTTGTTGGAATGACCAAATTTATTGTCCTATTTTGAGGCCTTTAATGATTATAAATAAAATCATATCTTCAGAGATCAATTTCGATAAGTACAGGTACTTGCTTTCTATTAACTGTAAGTTTCCTCACAGCTTTTCAGATACCATCGTTCTAAGTTAACGAAATAGTGAAGTAAAATGTATGTTAAGTAACACGTATGTTAAGAATAGTATAGATGGTTTATGGCTAGCAGTGGGATAGAGTTGGTGCGTTTCATCTCATTTGAGACTCTTAAGATGGATGTACACACATTTCAGAGTTGATGCCTACACCTAGTACCTTTTGCCTCAAACACTTAACGCGTTATTCATTAGACTTGACTCCTTGATCACTTATCTTGACACTTTAGTTAGTGAGTAAATATAATCGTATTCAGAGATCAATAAAGCACAAAATATGACAATCTATAATACTTTTAAAACTGTAATAAAACAATCGGCGATAAACATGTTATGAATCTTAGTTCAGGGTAGACAAAAAAACTCAATAGATATTAGTTTTCCTAATAACAATTTGATTAAATGACTTAATCAAAACTTACTAAAGTTAAAGGAAAATATTATAAAATGTTGTGAAATTATGAGTTCAGTATTCAACATTCATTCTGCATGAAGGAAAATGAAATTTTAGCGAACGTTTAGCTCGAAAACATAGGTGGCTGTTAACGTTAGAACTCAGATACGAGTTCCATGTAATAACAAAACATACTACAAACCATGGCTGACTAGAAATTGCTAAAACCTACATACTTTTTATTACCTAGATCAGATTTCTCTCAACTAATGCAACAGAATATTTCTCAGTCTATGGTACTATGGTTTAGCTAATAAGTTTGCGAATTCTAAACAGTATATTTCAGCAGCAAAAACTCATTAGGAAAGCTGAAGTAGTCTGTATCTTTTAATCTATTCAAGGCATTACGCTTTAACAGTTATAGTGCGTTCTCTAAAACCAAACGAAAATTCAGAGAGACATTCTGTCAACGGATATTAATAAAATCAAGTTAGAATTACAGTCTGTCATTCATAATGAATATTAATAGTTACCAGGGTGACATTTTAGATCATTTACTCAATCTTTATAGCTAAAATCCAGTCAGTAATTAAGCCAAACAGCAAAACAGAAACGATGGTAATATTATATCTAATTTTACTAGTTTTATACTAATTTTATGTTTTTATTTATTATATTATTAGCAAGAGCGTCCTTGGATGCGAAGTCATCACAGAGATAGATTTGTTGTACGAATCACATCAGTAACTCATCGCTGTTCATGTCGATCAAATACTCCAAACCATAATCGTACAACAGATTCAAAATCTAATCAATGTCAAGGCAAAGAATGTAAACTCAGTGAACCACGTATTTATGTCACATTCCAAACTCAATTACCAAGTTTAATTCCACCTGACAATGCTAGAAAACATGGAAGACATTCACACCATATACCACTAACTGGGCTTAGATTGGGATTTAGCTGTCCATTAACTAGTCAAGGACCACCTATGAGTGATTTCGAAACACCAAAAGTAGCTGAAAGAGTAAGTTTATACTCAATAAAAAGTAGAATGAAGTTAACTTAATATTCCTTTTTTGTAATAGGCTTGATTTAAATTTAAATCATATATGAGATGAATAAATGTAGTTGGTAGATTTTAAAGCGAACGAGCATTTAACTGATTTAAGTAGTAAAATCCACAATCAAGTATTTTAATTAAAGTACATGAATCAAATCAATAGATTTGAGATCATTCTGAAATGAAACCAGGGAAGTGTTTTGATGATGAAATTTTTCATTCTGTTGTAAACTTCTATCGTTATATTATAGAGATCTAAATAAGATTAAAATCAGTGTTTTTATGTTTCACTATTCCACATCATACATCCATAATTACGTTAAGTAAAATCTATCTAAAATTCATAATAATATATATATATATATATATATATATATATATATATATATGCCACATTTAAATCTTGATCGAGTTTTATGTAGTTTTTAAAATCAAAACCAATATGTATGTACTAACTTTTGTATTCATTCTTCATTCTGAAATCGAAAAGATAATTAACCTATAAGTGAACTTATACTATGTAAGAATCTCATACAGTCATTGAAAACTAGGAAGCACTGAATAACTGTTTCATCCTAATATGGGACCCTTCGTCATTTGATATCCACAACCCCACCGAGGATATAACCGGGGACCTTCAGGTCTGGCAAGGAGTGCTTAACACTCGTACAACTGAAATAGCACCCAGTGATTAACATGTGTAATTGTAATTAATCCGAGAAATTACGCAATCACCTACCAATAGATTTGACGGGTACCTACCTAATATCTAACATGAATAAATAACAAAATCTGGATTTTCAAGTAAAAACTGCGTACACTGAATCTGGATACTAACTGTAATTCAAAAAGAGGGAAATTTTGTAAATGTGATAAAATTGGACATGGCAATATACTAATGGTATTTCAACATGAAACTAAGTTTTAAGCGTGAGTGAAAATCAGTGTCCCATTTCTTTTACTTAAATCTCTCAAGAAAAAACAGTGAACTAAATGTTGCGTATTTTGCTATTAACAATGAAATTATTGATATTTTTATCATTAACAATCTACCCAATGGTTAGTTTATTTGAAATTATGCGGTCAAACGTTAGTAATGATACTTGTATATTACTGTTGTCCATAAAATTAGTTCGTGTAACCAGGATAGGTTACAAGTGATCTAATTGTCGAAAGTAATTTATTGTTATGATAGGAATTGTCCACTAGTGTCTTGCATGTTCTAATACACGCATCAAAAGAAGCATTTGTGTTATCTGGGTTATAATGAACTTGCACAAGACCTAATTCTCCTGTAAACTAATATAGCATGAAATAACATTACTCAACGTAAACATATCATTGTGAATAGTCTTCTTGAGCTTATTGTAATCACATACTTGACACAAAGATAAATCCACCTACATTTTAGTACATACTCTAAGGCTACATTTAAAATTCTTCATAAACAGCAGAAAGTATTTTAAACACATTGTGCATGTAGTTTAATTAGTGGTATAATACGTTAGTGAGTTAAATATTGTCATGTAGTGTTGGTTATTACGTTAAACTTATATATCTTATTCTGGCTTTCGGACAGGCCAATCTACTCATTCTACTCTAGTCATATTTTGACCTTGTTAATTATTCGCTTATCAATTTTGACTGTTTTTTATATGAGCGCATATGTGTGTACATTTCTTATGCTATTCATCACATGCCTGTAACTTAAATTTGTGTGACTATAAATATTGTTCAACGCTTGATTAAATGAATTTGGCTTACCCGCCATTTCCACTGCTCGTCGTTTCGATTCGCTCTATTCCATTCACTTCATATACAAAATATATGTATTCAAAAGTCCATTCTCGTTATTTGACTTATTTAATTCCGTTACTGACTAACGCGATTTAATTTGATGATTATATACGAGGATAGGCGACATATACATTATGACAGTAATCAATCATACGATCTACTTGGAGTCAGACCCCGGGCTATTAAAGTTATCCCAACCGACAATCAGAACAACTCGAATGGTAGATACATAGATTCAAATCAGTGTACATATGACTTTTAAACTTAAGTGATTTAAAATATACCGATCAATTTCTTCTTAGTTAGTAACATCCAAAAGTCTTTTTTGTTCTACTGGAGTATTAAATTATATCAACTTAAAAATCTAATAAGATATATCTTTAATTTTCTTAAAAATTTATTTATTCCTTTTGCTTATGATTACATTTACCAAATTTAATCAATATCTTTCTAGGGATGTTATAGAGAACTTTCAAGAACAATGATTACATTATGTAGAAATTTTAGTTAGAATAAATTTTTATTCAGTTGAATGAATACTTTCCAAAGTTCATCTATTATTACCTTATAAAAATATGAATGTAAATATGATTATGATCTCGTTACCTAAACAATGGAACTGAATCAAAATTACTTATTATTGTTAGATAATATACAAAGATGTTTTTGCACTCTTTAAAGAATAAACACTTGAAAACTTCAGTCACATTTTAATTTACCCTGACTGAAATCATGAGTCAATTGAAGTTAGACCACCATGGAAAACCTGGAAGCACTGGACGGCCGTTTCGTTCTATTGTGGGACTGGCTTCAAGAGATATATCCTGGAATTCTAGTGAGAATCAGTGACCAGTGGAGTTCAACCAGGTCAGTTGTGAGGTAGTAACTCACTGAAGACAACGGTGGATGTGTCGCTCAATTACGTGGATTAGTTGAAGTTAGACATTAACACCGTTAGATGACGGCCGGCTCAGTGGTCTAGTTGGTTAAGCGCCTGGGGCGAGACTGAGAGGTCCTGGGTTCGAGTCTCGCAAGGGGACAGGGTCATGGATGCGCACTGCTGAGGAGTCGCACAATAGGATGAAACAGCCATCCAGTGCTTCCAGGTTTTCCATGGTGGTCTAGCTTCAATTGACTCATGATCTCAACTGGTGAAACATTTTAATTTAAATAACTACCTATTGATTACGTAATAATAATGAATATGATCATCTCTCTGTTTTTCTGTATTATATTCAAGAAAAAATATATATAAGATCGTCTACTGAAGTATTTTTAATTAAAATCATTTCTTGTCAAAATGATAACTGAAAGATAATGAATGTTGTTTAGCTTAAACAACCTTCATTACAAATACTAAATTATAATATAGAGCAGAAAACAAAAAAAGAAGACGAGATATAACTAATGTTTTTCATAATATTTTTTTCCTACCTTTGTTTTAATTTAATCTATAAAGCCAGATACATTCCATTAAACATTTGAGATTAATTCTGTATATAGCTTCCGAATTCATTAAACGTAATCAGCATTTCACTTTTGATTATATCGAGTTAGCTAGACTATAAGAATAGTATGAAACTTGTTGGTCTTTACACTAACACTTTTCTTTTACACTAGCTGGATAAAAATATAAGGTTTAAGACAGAAGTTGTAATTAGTTAGTTAGACAGCTTTTGGAGAATAGTTCAGTTTTAAGGTTTTAATTGCTAAATGAACTGATAAACCATAAAACATACATACTCATGAAAATATGCACTTACCAGTATACAAAAGACCTAACATTTTATATTCAACTATCGTGTTGGTAGTGAACGTTTTTCATTCTACAATAACCTAACACTAGGAACCAGCGTTGTAAGTAGGTAACTGTATTACTTTTGACTTATTATAATTGAAATTTTAAAAATCATTCTATAGTTGGAATTTGGAATCAAGTGAATTTCTATTAAGAAATATAAGTTAAAATATTTCAATTAAATATAAGCCTCCAAATAAAAACTAACTTCGTACGTGTATTTCTGAAGACCTAAAGTAGCTCTCTGGTAAACCTATAAAGAAGTGATAAAAAGATGGAAAAAAGACTATAGTTCATTTGTGCTTTGTTGAAGCGATTTTCAACTTAGAAAGAAATACGATCTCATTATCCTGAGCTAAAGTTTCCGTGATTCTATTTTGATTGGTTGGACAACAGATAACTGTTTTCATATACTTATATACCTAGTTACACATATGCATAACAATATACATTTTCATGTATTGCTATTTCGAAGGTTTTGAATTATATACAGAGTGTTGCCCTCCAAATTTCCTAGTACGGTCGAGGGTGAGGAGAGTCCACTCTTATTCACGAAATGCTCTCACATAGCCACTTGTATATAACCATCGCCAGGGAAGTTCTACTCACTGCCTTCTCGCGGCGGGCTGTTGTTCACGAAATTGAGAGGACGAACAGCGAACGTTCCGAGCTTTAACAGGGTTAGTGTGTATGTACGGCCATTAGCGACGCTGAAGTAACCTTGAGAGCGTTCACCCAATAACTAAGACCAAACGAGGGTTATAAACCAGCGTGAGGAATTAGAATTATGATTTACAGTTGATGGTTAGGGTTAGGAATTACACATAAAGGTTTCATCACGAACTGACATCAACTATAATGCCAAAACTCTATTTAGCCAAATAGATGGGTGAGTTTCGCGCCAAAATCCGAGACCTGTTATCTTAAACTTGATTGGTTCGTCCACAAATTATAGTCTCGCCGGAGGACACACCTATGGAAGTTGGAAAACCCTGATTCCAAACTACTGGTGCACGTGGGCTCCAAGATCTTGAAGGAACAAATGGTGTAGGTACCAATTATTGGTAACCGGCTACCATGAGACTGCATCTCTTAACGTTGCTGCACTGCGTTGTGGACTGGACCTTCAGGTCGAAGGCTCGAGGAGTGAACCCTAAGAAAACCACCTGTTTCAGTTTGAGCTCACGGGCAGTACAGAGTGTTATTTCTTCTCAAATTAAACTTAAGATCAACGGTGCAAATGTTCATTGTATTATTTTAAGGATAACAATCTATGGAATCTTGATGATCTTCATGTCAAAAGTATCGTGCAAAGGTATACATATTGTACAGCTTACTTCAAGTCCAAGAAAATATTAACAGATAAGCTATCAGCTATGTAAAAGCCGAATAATATAAAAGAATCAACCATGTATATACTCCAATATAATAATGCACTGAGTAGCTTCATGTGCAAATGAATGACATAAATGTTTCTGAAATGAAGTATAAATAAAGAAAAATGATTATAATTCAAACCTCTCAAAGAATAACATTTTGCAATCTAACGAGTATAACAATAATGAATTTTTAAAGCGTTAATGATTAGGACTCTTTTTTCTTTCCAATTTAGTCGTTCGATACCAATAACTCAATCGTATGATTACGATTACGTTAAGTAATTTAATATGCCACAACAATGGATCAATGAAAAGATAATTATTCCAAATATGTTGCAAAAAAATAATATACAGCCATCATGTACAATAGACTAATTTATATTAAATCTTTTACATACATCTCATTTTCAGTTTGATTCATGGGAACAAGCTGGTAATCGTCCAGGTTTTCGTGTACAAATATTGACAGCGCTACAACATACAGTTCGTCAAATGCTCGAATTAATTAGAACAAAGGGATTTAGTGCAATAAAACTCGATACAGATTATGTGTTCTTTCCACCAGCAGCTGATCTTCAGTAAGTACGGATTGCTTAAACATGCATCAGCTTATTTTCGAATATTTATTTATTTTGTGAAGATATGACTGATTCTGAAATGTTTTCACTGAGAAATAAAATTAGCAAAAAATAACTGATAATGAGGAGAAAGAAGATTTATTCAGTTATTTCTTTGTAGTGATACTTACATCAATTTGTAACCTCATCTAATTAGAGATCGCTATAGTCACAAATTAGTATATATGAGGACGGCCCACGGGTAAACTCGAGGAAGCCTTAAGAAGCTCAGAAAGAGCCGAGGATATTTCATGCAACCATTTTTTGGAAGAATATTCTAGAATCTCTGGGTGTAGCTTCTCGATTGGACAATGCTAATAACCCCCAGTGTGCGGATTGGATAGCTATAATGATGATTTCGTCTTTACTAAAAACTATAAATACCTGACAGTCTTCTATCTTCTCATTGTGACTTGCAAAGTTTCTAGCGTTCAAGTGCTCAAGTTATACGCGTCATATCAGAATATAAGCTCTAGATATAACAGTAAACCTTTATAGAGCTCTTTCAGTTAGACTTTTACTTCTGCTAATCGTGGACCGTGAAATAAGCATTACATAAATGTACGTATTCTTTGATACATAGATTTTTAAAAACACATACATGTTTAACCTAAAAAAGGATCTTTCTTAAACTGTATGAATAAACGATAAGGAATTTCAAAATACTATGAAATCTCAGTATGTTGCTCCCTTCTTTTAAGTAGTTCAATTGCTAACCTCAGTCAGTGATAATAATGAAATTCAATTAATAATTTCTTACTTTATATATATATATATATATATATATTTCACCATAACTTTTCTTTTTTATCACATTCAAAGACCAATTTACGCGAGACGTAGACCACTGAGTTCATCATCAGATAGTTCCTTGCCAAGAGTAATGGGTCTTGAACGAATAAGACATGAAATTAAAAATGAACCAAAAAATCACAGTTTCAATACAAAATTAAGTGAAAGTTTAAATTATACTGAAAAACCAGAACAATCAATTTGGTCAGAAGTGATGAGTGAATCTGAAGATAGTAACAATGATACTGTATTCAATACAAATAGTCTAAGTATACCAAGAAATAGGCCACGAACATGGTATCAATCACCTGGACAAAATTCTTTAAGTACATCACCATCAATAATATTGACAAAAAATAATTCAGATTATAGAATAAATGAAATTACTGACATGGTGGAAAATGATCATTATCATTCTATTGATAAACATATTAATATTGATGATAATAATGATAATAATAGTAATGATATCTGTTACCCAATGAGTTCAAGTACAATTGGTATATCATCAAATCAACCAATACAAAATACATGTTGGTGTACTTCAAATCCAACACAATATTCTTTATATCATAAACCTGGGCATAATTCATTTTTATCCACTTCACAAATAGCAATTAATCCAAATGTACAAATGAATTATTCTCCATACACTATGGTAGATGAACGTTGTTGGCTTAATAAAAGTATAAGTTAGTTTGTTTTCTTTTTTTGGTTATTTTTATTTCCATTTTAAACTTCATCATTTTATTATATTATAAAAGCAAAACTAAAAATATTTTGGTAAAACGTTTATTTTACTCTTAAAGACAATTCACGAGGTATATCATGGAGTTCTAGTGAGAAGCAGTCATCAGTGGAGTTCAACCAGGTCAGTTGTGAGGTAGTAACTCACTGAAGACAATGGTGGATGTGTCGCTCAATTACGTGGATTAGTTGAAGTTAGACATTAACACCGTTAGATGACGGCCGGCTCAGTGGTCTAGTGGTTAAGTGCTCGCGCGCGAAACCAGTAGGTCCTAGGTTTGAATCTCGCAGGGGGGCGGGGTCGTGGATGCGCACTGCTGAGGAGTCCCACAATAGGATGAGACGGCCATCCAGTGCTTCCAGGTTTTCCATGGTGGTCTAGCTTCAATTGACTCATGATCTTAACCATTGAAATTAAAATTCATTGTGTTGCAATATAATCACATAATAAAGTAAGAAAAATAGTCTAAAATTGGTCATAAAACGTTAGTTATATAATATACCCTTGTGGGCCAGGATAATTTTACATTGGTTTTCAGGAGAACCAGACACCACCCAGACTTTCACGTGACAACCCGAACAGTACAGCTCAATCCCGCTTCATAGGAGAACCAGACACCGTATAGGCTTTAACGCTACAATCTGAATAGTACAGCTCAATCCTGTGGTGCAACCACACAGGTATCAAGCACCCTGGTGGCCCATTCACACCATTCATATACACATTCACATCACATGTATAATTATTCCGATCAATGATCGAGTGAATCAATTATGCACAGCACAAACAGACCAAAGTTGACCTATTCTGTTTATATGACAGTCACACTCATTAATTTTAGCAATGGCGACATGCCTTACAATGTCCTAATGACAATGGCCCTTGAGAATACTGAAAAGCAACCACTAGTATGAATGAAATCGGTTAACCAGCAAACCAAATTTGTGCATGAACAGTCAGCAAAACTTGCCAAAGTAATGCCGAACCAGCCACAATAAAACGTGAAATCACTATTTAATTTATTTTCATTACCCTTAATTGTATGATATAGACATGATATAAATAAGATCAACATTAATAATATTGGATGATATTTATGTGAAATAAGGACTTGACTGAAAATGAATCAATAAACTATTGGATTAGGTATATCGTACTTGAATGTTTTCTTTCTATTAGTTTCTATGTGAGTTCTTGAGTCTAAAATACCAAAAGTTTTCAAGCTAGAATGAAGTCCTCTATTGCATGGTTTTCGAAGATTATCCACTTAATGTTATCATGTGATCACAATGGAGGTGAAAATGATCGAAATATTGATAATTATGGTTAAGTTATATGAAGCCGACTTTTATGACGTTGGCCCTGTGCTAAATCAACAATACGCCAACCAGAACTATCAGCTTTAAGTAAATTCTGAGTCCTTATTGGTCCTCTGTACAGTAACTCCTCGCCTACCCAGACCGTTCAATCCAGAATACAAATATCAGCCTTCGCTGTATGAAACATATATTTCAGGCATACGCGGTTTATATACAAACAAGCCAAACTGCATCATATCATAAAATGAAAAATAATAATTATACAAAATCAAGCCAAAAGTGGTTGTGGGTATGTGAGTTTGTAACTAATAGACTGGGAATAAGTTAAGAATGATAAATCGCATAATATTAACCAATAGAACAAATGAAAACTCAAGATAAAAGGAATGCGAATATATAAATATATATAATCTAGTTACTTACTAATTATCCGATAGGAATAGATATAATGATAATCCGTAAATAAATCCTAGCAGTTACCATTCATTTATTCCTCTTTCGGATATAACTGTTAGATTCTGTAATTGATAGGATGAGATTTTGGTTCGATAATGGATCTTTTTTTATTCCCATTTGTTGCTTGCTGGCATTTTTGAGTGGATTAATTTAAAAATAAATGAAGTACTTCATTTAACCACACAAATGGGAAACAAATATAATGGCTACCTACATAATTGATGCGAGGAATAATTACTTCTCAAAAATACATTATGTACATTTTAAAAAACACTAGCATCATATACGGAGATATTGACTAGTGGTTTTCATCGATTATTCCAAAAAAGTAATAGATTGTCCAGCATATTTTAATCAATAAAGTAGGGATCACCTCATACCATGGAGTATGTGCACTACAGTCATCGAGATTTTGACCAAGCTTTAAATGACTAAAATATGACCAGTCAAAGTGTTCTCACTTCTTGATTTTTTTTATTGTACATTAATCACAAAATCAGGTATAAACGATGCAATATCAATCTGACATTTTAATATATCTTGATACATGATTTGTAGGAAAGAGTAGCATCCCCTTCCTTCAATTTGGAAGTAAAGGTTTATAGTCAATACATAGGATAAACCTTCTTCAGTACAGCATCCTACTTTAAAAACTTAACATCTATCCTTCTTTCGTGAAATAAAATATGATAAATCTCTGCCACTGTAATAGGTTTCGAAACACGAGGGAGTACTTACTTACCGTCACCTGGGAAATTATGGATCATCCGTAGTAATTACTGATTCAAATATAGATTCAAAGCATGAGTGCCATACTATGTATTAACGGTGACTACCTAGTTAACAGATTTTTGAAACTCACGAGATCGGTTCAATTTTATATTTTTGAACTGAAGAAGCTTTAAGGAGACGAGTAGAGGTTGATGCAGTGACAGCAAAATACTACAAGAAATGAGATCAATCAGGAGTAAAGAGTTACAGTGTTTTATACTGAAGACAAATTCTGTATGATACATATATTTTTTATCTCAGTGTTTTCCATCTTAGTCAAGCATAAATTTAAGATATTGGACTGATGACAGTAGCATGTCTGCTCTTTTAAAACAAAAGATTACGACAAGATGAAGCTGATCATGTGATTCAAAATTACCAAAGTCCGTGAGAAATATATTATCTAAAAGGTCTGGCTAAAGGTAAATTTGTTGTTATGATACCCATAATTTGCTGAAAGCTGAAGCTGATTCGATTTCAGAAGATGGGAGCACGAATCAATAAATACTTCAATGGAAACTGATTTCTAACAGCTCATTGGAAATAAAGTTAATTTCCGTTTGAAGACATACATCTTGGAGATCAATTTTAAGAAAATATTCTTTTTCGCTGTATTGACAGCCCAGTAGTTTGATCTTCCATGTTATGATAAACACTATTTTCGAAATTAGCATACAGAACATTAGGTTCATTCTCTTTGGACTCAAAAGATCGATCTAAGATACAGAAACTTAAAATGATTGATCATGAAAGAAAACACACATATATAAGTAATTTGTCTTTAGTATAAATGGCTTGTTTAAACAGTGAAGAACATTTAGGCTTAACGAAATTCATTGGAACGGAACACTGCCTTATTATAGTCCCAAACATGTAGCTCAGACTATAAAATTGGAAAAACTGTACGAAGAGGAACTTACTTGTCTTGGCAATCAAAAGAGGTGAGCTACAAATGATTAAACTACTTGTAAGTAAGTGAACAAAATACTCTTCAATAATTTCATTTGTAAATTAGAAATGTGTAGGTTTCACAGCCAAGCATGAATACTGAATAACACTAGATTTTTTTCTCCAATCTGTCTTCTCGTTGTATTTATGAACTGCTCTATACTGTCAATGAGTAAAGTCCTAGTCTAAAGAAATTTCGAATTACTGAAAACAAATACTTCCTTAATTCGTAAGTTCACGCATAAGTAATTTGCACACTTGACTATAATCTAAACTCTAGAACACGACACAAAATCGTTTTCTATGAATGTTAAGTAGTGAATAATGGTTTAATAATGAATTTCATTATTTACCAGATTCTGTATACAAAGCGACTTCGAAAAACAGTAAAAAAGTCAGTACATTAATTTGAGTCAACAAGCTACAGAGCAAGAAAACTATGATATTTTAAAAGAAACATTTGGCTACCCATCCGAAGAATTTAGTCAAATTCCAATATTAATTCAGGAGACATAGGTTGTTTAATTTGTAAATAAAAATATTGATTTGGAAATCTAGATTAATCATTTCCCCAAAACCACATGCATTCTGAATAAGCCAGTAAATCATATTGAAGTTTCCTTATTAGTTCAATTAACTGACAGTTTAATACTTCCTTAACCCCTTGATCATTAGACAACGTCCTTTTGATGTTTGAAATCTTGGAGAACTTTATACTCATGTACAGGTTAAATGGATGATTTCGTCTAAAACAAAATTTCCTTCTTTGAATTCCATTTATCTTTATGCAATGAAAAACGAAACTCTAGCTTGTAAATTAATTGACCACTGTTAATCTCCAATCTAATATTGACAGTCCAAATAGGGATCCTTTCTGTCCCGATTAACGCAACTTACTGAGCTGACAGTATTTTCCATTATAAACGACCATGTGATAGCATATCATATTGTGTTTTCATAACTTAACACAAATGATAATGCCTGGCTTGACAACGACAGGCTTACTGATTGGAAATTTACTACCAGGAGTCGAACTGCAAATATTTATCATCAAACGACTTCCTAGCTTTACTCAGAAAAGATCTAAACGACAAAGTAACACTAACTTATGAATATATTCCCACTGTCATCTTTTTACAGATACCCCAAACAAACTTCTTAGATCGTTGGGTGCTCCATATTCAACTCCGGTTAGTCCAACACAATTTATTCTACGTGAATCTACTAATCAGAATCAGTCAAATGATTATGAAGCAAGTAATCTCCAAGCATCAGCATCAACAGAGCTGGTGGGAAAATTAGAAAAACCTAAAATTCCCACCCCTGAATATCTTCAAAGTACTACAAACTCAGAACAAAAACGAGATTACTTAAGTAAGGTAAGCCCTGATATAACAAGCAATGTTTATCGTAAATGAACAGAACTAATGGTAGCAAGATTTTTACCATCAAGCCTAGCTGCTTAATTTATCTTTAATTTGTAAATTTCATGTATAGTCTGTGAAGTTCATATTTCTATATTATTAAACTGTACTTTTCTTGTTAAAATGAAATCTTAACTTGAGTTTTCTACTTTATTTCACATTAACAGATAATAAAATCTCATCCCATATGTCTTTGGAGTGTATTAAGAACTGACGGTGATACGTTTGTTAAAGTTCTCAAAGACAAACTATTAACTTATATATAAGTACCGGGGTACTGGTTTCATGTTAGGCAGTTGACTAACTGATTGCTAATGTTGATTTCTTTCGGTAGTCTAATACTGTATGACCAAACTCGATAACTGTATTCTGCGGTCATCAATTTTACGTAGCTTGTCTAATAAATATACTAACGTTATGAAATTTAGGGCACGTTGATCGTAATCCTTCTCCGTTTCTGTTGATTAAAATATCCCCAATAATTCCCAACATCCAAAGTCTTCAGCTACTTTATTGTCTCTGTAAGACCATTTTCCACATCGAAAGCAAAGAGAAATTGTTAACACCCAAACATGATGAGTGACGAAACGAGATAATGGAACCAACAAGCAATAACTCCTGAATGTATAGGACGTTGTTGGACATTTATTTGACAGACTGTGTACTTAAAAGAACAACAGTTTTCATTCATAACTATATTGCAGTTGCTCACCAAATCTATAGCTATCCTACTAGTTTTAACTGGTTCGTCTATGATGGCATAACAGTTTTTGCAGTCCTGAAGATAACTGTTAATTTAATTCGCTCCCAGCAACTCAGTATTCCAATCTACATCCAGCCTGATTATTACCTATGCCAGTATCTGTAAAGATATACATTAATCTCAACTGAGATGTAATAGATTGAATGTAAAAATAAGTTGGAAACGGACAGCTAAGATGAATAAAAGTTAGGAGCTGGGATTCCTAGTTGGGCATACCATGTGGCTATCATGCACTCAAATTAGAATACGCAGATATCATTCATTTGCTGGCTCCAACCAGACAGATAGAGCTGCGTAGCTGTTTAACATCAAACCACAGTATTTTCAACTCCTATCCTTTCCCAAACTGACCTTGTAGTAATATTCGCTTTTTTTCTTAACAGTCTGAATAATAAACTGATGGTTAATTAAGGTAATGCATATCTAGTAGACATAAGAAAATAAAAAACAATCAGGATAGCATCCAACCATACTGTTACACGTCGGTTTCTAAATTCAATTGCTGAATTAACACTGATGGTCATTGTTGATCCTGATGAACGAATTAACTTCCGGTACCCGTTTCCAGTAGTAGGTATAAGTTCAATATGAGAATATGACTAAGATCCAGTGTTGTTTCACTAGAGTCGTAGAACCATTTATATTTTCTGTGGTATTACCATGGTAATATACTTGATAGGAATACAATAACCTTATATTAAGCTCACCATGACAATCAGTGCTATAAGTACTAAAGAAATTTGTAGAATAAATAATGGTAGGTACATATTTACTACATAAGTCTTCAGTTAAAGCTGAACAAATAAATTTCCATTGTTATTGCGAAAATGTATCCAATTATGTTGGATTAATTTTGAAAACTTTTCATAAACTAACATTAAGAACCGTAAGAATCAAATAGAGATGAATAAATAATGAGGAATTACTCCTTCGAGATTAGCTTTAAGGTTACTAAAGCAATTAACTATCGAATGATTTATGTTAACTATCATATTACTTAGTCAATGACACTACAAGATTTTAAAACTTTTTTCCCTTTTTCTTATTTTAAAAATAGATTTTACAAGAAATATCAAATTGTCTTCATACTAATCCTCAATATCCCATCGTTATCATGCCTACTTCACAAATGTTGAATTTCTCAGAGAATCAACAAGCGACGGATAATAAAAACAGTAGAAAAGCACCACTTGTTTTTCAAATACCACATTCTAATTCGGTTTTTATAGGCCTTCCAGCAACCTCAGGGGTGAATCCACGGGTTATGACAGCCTCGCCCACAAATGCTGTTATTGTATTGCCGTCATTAACAACAGATCAACAGTTAACTCAACAATCCACATCACAACAAAATTGTCAGTATTCACCTCTCACAAATACACAACCAACTATTTTAACAGGTCCAAAACAAGGCTATTTGTTAATTATTACACCGGACAATAAGTATGAATATGTACCACAGCCTTAACTACCAACAGAAACTACAAGCTATTAATGTTGCATTTACAAAATGATTCTTTCCCTGTATATTTATGTCAATAATATAATCATATTAGCAAATTATTATGCTCGCTAACAATGCAACTAAATCGTTTTATATCCATTATTACAGATGATGACTATACAGGCAGAAAAAGAGGAATCAGCTGAATGGAAACTACTATTACTACTTTTTATCTTACTATAACGAAGAAAATTGTCGTTTCCTTGAAATGAACAACAAACGATTATTTCATCCCCGTGAAGATTTGACTTCATATTTTTTTAGGTATAACGTCAAATCTTTTAATGCATCTTTCGTCTTCCAGACATAATTAAATAAACAGAATAAATCATTATTTTGATTCTATATACGATTGTATAACAGATCTGGTATTCCTAGTAAATGTTTTAATACAGCTGATCTACTCAATGACCAAGTATTTAGATTCAAAAATGTTAGCGTTCTTATTTGTTTATCATTATTAGTTTATAACAAGATGATAGTATTAAAAACTCGCACATTATAAATTACAACATATAGGCAGACGGTATTGTATTCAATTACAGTACTTTGATACACAGTAAGATTTATGGGAATATATGAAAACACTAAACTGATCAAGGCAGTTTATGAGTCAGTGACAAGAACGAAACACTAAAAAAAAAACATAATAAGTAAACAGCACAGGTGTGATGACGAGTGTGCCAGTTGTGTTGGGAATAATAAAGGCCCGAATTAATGCTTCATGATAAGAAGTCGGTCAAAGACTTGAAAAAAATAGACATTGCAATAACATTCATTTGAAATTATTAGAATTACTTCGCCTTTCCGTAGGCAGCGACACTAAATGCAAGAAAGCAATAGGCAGGAGGAAGGTATATTTGTTGTGAGAAGTTACTAAGTATTTACATAATACATATACATTTACATCTTTCGGTGTGTTCTGTCATTTGAACGTTAGTGGTCCGATATCTGACTCCAGTTATATCGTATGATGATTGCTATCGAAACATACATCCCGGCTACCTTTGTACATAATCACCGACCTAAATCGCGTTAGTGGATAACGGAATTAAATAAAACAAACACGAGAATGGATTTCGAATACGTATATTTCGTACAATCGTTGATCCAGACAGACGATCAGAGAAACGAAGCGAACAAAGAGAACAGAGAAGGACGCGAAATGAAACGAAATGACGCACAGTGAAGAAGACGATTGAGTAAACTCGTTTTGACGAAGTGTGATTCGATATATGTTACCAGACAAAAATAATTTAGACACGTGATGAATAGGGTAAGCAATTAGCACACATACGACCATATAAGTAGTCATGGTTAATAAGCGAATAATTGACAGTCAAAATGTGGCTTGAGATGAATGAATAAACTGGTCTGTCGAGAAGCTAGAATAGTCTAAATAACTTGATATAGTACCAGCCACTATGTAACTTTCTTCTCGTTTAGGCTCCCAATGCTCTGCCAATGCCACGCTTTCGATGTACTGAAACTCTTCACTCTGTCCTATAATTGTTGCGACTTCAAAGCCACATCCCGTTACATATTATTCACAAACAAGCCTGTGTGTAGCATTCACCACAATTTCGTATTTATGTATTTGAACACAAACATTGGTACAAGATGGCACCAAATACAAATGCGTCACACAATAACAATGAAGTTGGGAAGAAATGGAATGTAAAGTGCGTATGATAATAAAAAACAACAACAAACAAAAATTAGCGTATGAAAGTGAAACAATAATAATAATAATGATAATAATGGGAGAAAAAATTCAGCTAGCAAAAATATAACCAGGAAGAATTCTTTCAATTAAAGAAGTTACGTTCATTTTTCTGAAGAAAGTAAAAGTTACAGCGAGATAATCACCGGCTTCTATTCTGAGCCATATCTGATACCACCTCAAGCCACTGTGTTGCACCACCTCTAGAACTCCAACCCCGGAATCGCGAAGGACCAACAGAAACCAGCCCTCTGCAGCTTTCTTTCATACCACGACACCATGTCATGCACTGACCACCTCTCCGCTTCTTCCAACCAGTCCCAGAGTCGGCAAATAATGCACGACGTGGAATTCTCTAGGACGACATTCGTAGAACATGTCCAAGCCACCGAAGTCGGTGTTTCAAGATGGTGACACCAATTGAATTATCATCTCTGTGCCCGAACACATGATGCCGAATCTCTGCATTACTGACATGGTGTTGCCCCTGAATGTCAGCAATCCTTCGGAGACATGATGATCGAACACAGAGAGTCGTCTAACGTCCTCAACTCGGAGAGGCCAGGTTTCACAAGCATAGAGCAGAACTGCTCTCACCGACGCGTTGTAGATCCGACCTTTCACAGCCATACTGACATCAAGAAAACACCAAAGATGGCCTAGATCGACATAAACCGCTCTACCTTTCACTATACGTGCATTGATCTCATCACTCATGCCAATACCAGCACTTGTGTAGCTACCTAGATACACGAACTTCTCGACTACTTCTATCTGCTCACCATCCAGGGTGAGTACAGGATTAAAATCCTGCCAGTCTTGTAGAAGCACTTTGCACTTCGAAGGTGCAAGGCACATACCGTACCTACGGACACTGACTGCCAACTGATTAAGTGCGGATTGCATGGCTTGGGTATTATCGCACAGTAAGACAATATCATCCGCATACTCACGGCAACAGATCCACATTACATCCATCAGAGCTGTTTTCAGGACATCATCGACAGCAAAGCTGAAGAGGAATGGTGAGATTGGGCAACCCTGTCTAACCACACTGTTTGAATGGAACAATGGAGGTGTTTGTATGCCCTCACTCTACCTGAGTTGCTTGCATATAGGGCTTTCAAGATGTTAACAAACTTCTCAAATACGTCATTTTTTTAATAGACAATCCCAAAGAACAATCCTGTTCAACGAATCGAAGGCGGCCCTTATGTCAAGAAACACTACGATTGTTGACCCGTAATAAGTATAATGGTGTTCTAGCATTTGGCGGAGGATGTTGCCGGGACAGCAGACCAGTCGAAGTGCTCCTCGAAAAACTCTGCCGATAGTCCAAGACGTCGATAGATGTTAGCGATTGACATCCCGTCATCTTCACAGAATGTTCCACTCACACGAGACATCTTGCTGCCAGTGGCTTAGATAAGTTGAAAGAGCCTCCGGTAGTTAACAGATGAAGCCGCTGCATCCAAACCATTGGCATGCTCCGACTACAAACCTTCTTAGTCCTCACGCAAGCTTTTCCCAATTCCATTACGTAAGTCCTCGCTTATGCTGGCCAGAAACAGGTTGTAGTCTGTGCACAGTTGCAGTAGACGGTCCCCATTACCTAACCTGGGACCGACAAGTCCCCATCGGTCACCTAAACGACTTTCCTCTGTTCCTAGACGCCCGACCTGAGAGTTTAAGCCTCCGGCTAGTATTAAAATCTGTCGAATGCACTTCCTGTAGAAGAACAGTTAATTGGTGGTAAAAATCATCCTCGATCGCATTCTGGATGCAATCTGTCGGAGCATAGGCAGAGATGACGAAAAGACATCATTTCTTACACCGATTTATTCGCACTTTGATAGAACTTTCTAATCTAACAGCACACTACCTACTGTTAATGCGGATAGTACGACTGAATGAGAGTTGAAGCGAGTTATTTTATTTTTCTCTTCTTATTTGAAAACATAAACATTGGTACAAAGAAGCTCCATGTAGATATGTGCCACACGTCGTCATTTGATTTGTGTGAGGGCTGAGATAATGCCCGTGCGCTCAAACTGAAACAAGTGGCTTTCTTAGGGTCCATCCTGGAGCCTTTGACCTAAAGGTCTGATCCACAAGACAGTGGAGCAACGTCAGGAGATGCAGCCCCATGGTAGCCGGTGGCTAAAGCTCCGGGCATTCGCTGTTCGTCCTCTCAATTTCGTAAACAACAGCCCACCGCGAAAAGACAGAGAGTAGGACTTCCCTGGCAGTGGTTGTATGCACGTGGCCATGTGAGAGCATTTCGCAAAGGAGACAGACTGTCCCCACCCTCGACCGTACCAAGGCATTTGGGGGTAAGAGAAATTTTCCAGTCGTAGTTATCATTGATTTTAATGAGGATTGTGATACTGCCCGGGTGTAATTAACTGCCAGGTTCGTGCCAAAAGAGGATAATTCCTAAACTTGTTTTCGACAAGTAAGGTACGAATTTCGCTGTAAAAAACTGGGTACGTTTAAACAAAGCTGCATTTTACACACTGAAAACTAGAAAATGAACTGAACTCCATAAAAGAGATATAAAATTAAGCTAAGTTCATGACTTTGATCCTAATCAACCCTTGAACCATCTGCTAGTGTGTGTGACTTTATGCATTTTTAGCTGGAAACACACTGAGCATAGGCTACCTTTCATACCGTTCAACCTCATGTCTTCTAATGATCATCACGTTTTTCATGGTTACTTCAAAATAATATCATTAACTTATTTGATATGACATTTACCGGTGACTTATTATACGAAACATTATATCGTGGATGGATATATATGAATAGATGTAAAGAGATTTTTCAGTTTTTTTTGCCGTGTGATATTTTACACCAAAGTCTCTGAACCGTAAATTGTAAGTCACAAGAGTTCGGTATTATATAGCTATTTATAATTCAACTAGAATATAGACGACAAGGAAATGCAATCGCCATATGGTATAAATTGGCAAAGGGTATGTCCTGATATCTTATATTTTGACAAAAAAAGCTGAACGCATGGCTAAATCAGCCTCCCAATTCTAAAGAAAACTTTTGTGCCAAAAGGACCCAGTCGAGAACTAGAAATTCGAGAATTTATAATTCGCATAGGTGGTGAAAAAACAGGAAACATCATTGTTTAATACTGAATCATCTAATCGAATATTCGTGAACATACAAAAACATGGTTTGACAGATCTATAGGATTTTGGATGTGTTCAGTTAAAACGCGGCAAAGCAAACATACTTATATTCAACATGTACCATTTTTTAACATATACTTTAAGACATCTATTGTTTAGGCTAAGCATGTGTTGTGAGAAAAAATTAAGAAATTTCGTAGGATTAGTCTTTATTAGCTTTAAGTTGTGCAATTAGGCCTGCCCTTTGGGTTTCTGTAACATATTCAGTTAGATCTGGAGACATGAAATCAACAGCTTTCGGTATCCGGAGATAATTCAACACCTTTCCTTTACTCGTATGTAAATCACCTGGATTTTTCGGTTTCCTGAAATCGTAACACTATGGCAGTAAAATAGTATCATACTTTGCTGAATCTTTCTGAGCTAGAGATGCATAACTCGGCGGTCCTGTAGTATTTTTGGACAAATTTTCGTAACTAGTGATTATCCATTGTCATTAAAGTTAATCAAACATACTCAATCTCCACATCTTTACATTCGATCTAAAATCGTTACACACGATTTGATAACTTACGGATTCATCGCTAGAAACTTCTTCATCCATTAGATACGGCATAGTCTAAAATGTTAAGTACCTAATTTAAAAAGGAAATGTCATAAAAATCAGATTACGTAACTCAGGGATAAATTCCTTACTTTAGAGAGACGAAATGAAATAATCTTAGCGAACATCAGATAAGGTTTTTATTGTTTATTTATTTCAACACAAAGATATTGGTACAAGGAGACACCAAATACATATGAGCCACACAAATCTCATTTGATATGTGTGAGGGCTGTGATACTGCCTAGGTGCCCAAACCGAAGCAGACGGTTTTCTTAGGGGGCCACACCCGGAGCCTTCGACCTGAAAGTCTGATCCACAAGGCAGTGGAGCATCGTAAGGAGATGCAGTCCCATGGTAGCCGGTGACCAACGGTTGGTTCGTACTCCATTTGTTCCTTCAGGATACTGGAGCCCATGTGCACCATTGGTTTGGAATCACGGTTTTCCAACTCCCCTAGATAAACTTACCGTGTCCACCGGCCCGGTTAAAGCGCCGGACATTCTCTTTTCGTCCTCTCATTTTCGTAAACAACACCCCCGCCACGAGAAGACAGTGAGTAGGACTTCTCTGGCAGAGGCTATATACGCGTGGCCATGTGAGAGCATTTCGAGAGGGAGAGCGGACTCTCCCCACTCACAGCCGTACCAGGGTATTTGGGGGCAGATAAGGCACAAAATGTGTATGATATGAGATTTTTTACACCTACATTCGGTCAACGTCGGGCATAGCAAAAACCTTGATCGATCTAAAACGCTATGTTCACATAAGCAGTCAGTCAGTCAGTAACAACGTAGAACTTCGTACGTACGTACATCAGTTCGAGTTGCCACACCACATTAGCACAGAGATGCAGTTGTCGATTCAAATCCCATAGTGGTAGAGGTAATAAGAGTATAAGCAGTAATCGGGAAGATTAGGGTTTGGAGATGTTATTTATAGAGTATAATCCAGTGAAATAAATTTGGAAAGAGGAAAAAAGGGGCATGAAGAATTCAGAAGATGAGAATTTGAGAGAACACAGAGAGTGGATGCACTTGCGCCATTGCAAACGATTTTGAGCCATGTCATTCAGGGTCTCTAACCATCGGTTGCTATCATCTCGCGGTCCCCAACCAGGTAGTCTACACCTACCAACATGACTCAGTTCACTTGTCAGTGACTTCATGGACTTGTGCCATGTTTTGGTTTGGCCGCCCCTAGCTTTCTTCCAACCTACTCCTATACCACTGAACATAGCACGTCGAGGCAGTCGGTCGTTGGGCATACGTAACACGTGTCCCAGCCATCTCAACTGATGAAGTTTCACTACTTCATCAATTGATTTGCCATCCTTACCTAGTACCCGTTTCCTAACAACTGCGTTACTTACTCGATGGTCCCATGATATACGAGCAATGTTTCGAAGACACCTATGATCAAATACTAGTAGCCTACGGATATCCTCTACTCTTACCGGCCATGTTTCACTGCCATAAAGTAGGACGGAACGAACTGCTGCGCAGTAAACACGTCCTTTGGTTGATAGACGGATATCTCGCCTACGCCATAAATGACGCATAAGCACCACACATAAGCACCAAAAACGGGAATTAACGAAATGAAAATCAAGTGAGTCGTAGTATCCATGGAAGGAAAAATATGTACTACATACGGGAGATATACTTTGATAAAGAAAAAGATGAATTAGAATCTTAAAATAATGGCAATAATTCAATTTACTACATTTCAGATTTACACTCATAACCAATCCGAAACTAGTGTTATTTCATCATTATTCTGTTGGCTATTTCATAGATTGTCAGGTAAACTTAGGTTTTCAGCAGGACCAATGTTAGACAAGAAACGTTAATACAAATGCTAGGATGGGATTGGGAATAGGTGTTAGGGTTAAGTGTTTCCATAACGAACTGAGATGAACTATACTGTACTATACTGGTACAGTCTTAATCACTGACAAATCACGTCACTAGCCTGACTTCGGCGTCTCATGATATTCCGGAACAACCAACATCTCCTGGAATTCTGAGTGTATACTTCATATTAACCAAATATCACTGGAAACTCAGTTAATTAGCTTTTAGTTTCACTGACGAGTTAATTGCGGAGCGAGACTATACCAAATTAAAAACTCACCTAGCTACAGTCAAATTTCATTACAACCACAAATTTAGTTGGACTACGGAAAATGAAGGAGCAAAATACTACACGTAACGGCTCGCGTCTAGATAGAAGGTACCTTGTGTACTATAGAAACGTGCACAATAGCATGACGATTGGAAAAAATACTCAAAAGACGAGACGACCAAACATGAAGCGCAGGAAGTGTACTTACATTTACCAAAGGAAGATAAAGACAACACTCAGCACAAAATCAATACCAAAATCGAGACAACCATACCGATTTTAAAGTTACTCGCTTTCCACGACCTTGAGCGACCTAATGATAAATGGTTCAGATGGTTCAAATGATTGTGGACGGAATAGAATAAGCTTATGCTTTACGGGCTTCTGTGTGTAACAACTGTGGATCGCAAGTACCTCCAGGCAGTAATCTAGGTATATTAACGATAATAGAGGAAAAAGAAACGGGAAAATCATAGTGTAGCGTTAAATAAATCACAAAATAAATAGCTCTGTAAGTTTTCGACAATGGGTGCTGACCACGTTAGTTTTATTGTTCTCACCTAGCTGAAGGCGCTCGGTCATGCATCCGTACAAGATCACGAGTGGGAACGCCGTGCTCAACATCCCCTGCAACCGCTAGCTAGATTACATCAGTCGATCCTCGATACGTTGATAGCCCTATCAAATATATAATCGAGCCTCCTCGCTTCTGTCTTTCGATTTCACTTGGTGGGTACGATTCATAAAAGAAGGTTTTACCAGTTAGAGCGTTGCCAAACTCCGAATACCTGTGGCATCTTAAATAGTAAGAAACTATCCTTAGCCCTTAAGAATATGTCAGGACTCCTGAGAAGTCGCTTGAACTAGCTCAGCCGGCAGCGAATTCTGACACTTGATAACTCTTAAGGAGTAGGAGGTATGCCTGCAATCCGTCCTGATGTGTTGTGTCTCCAGTTTCTGTGTGTTACCCCTCAAGTTTGTGTTGAAGATAAACTTAATTAGATTTCAATAATGTAATTAGAAGACGAAGATTATCAGAACTATGTGATATATTAGCGCAATACATTTCGAACAATCTGGTCACACAAATGGTCATACAAATGTACCTTTGAAAAAAACCATTGATATATAATGTGATTACATATCTGTAAACAATTTTCAATCACGTGTACCTGTAAAACTTCCTAAAGATTTACTCTTATTATGTACTAACAAAGTTCAGTTCACTTTTGAAGGTGATTACATTCGTCAGATTGATGGAGTTGCTATGGGTAGTCCACTAGGACCATTATAAGCAGATGTGTTCATGGTACTGTAGCGTGGCGTCGAGTTGGGATTAACTATGAACACCGCTACAAAGAAACACGTGCCAAATAAATCAGAAGGCGTAGGTTGAATGTAACCAAAGAAACCCATAAAATCTCCGAGAAGCCAAATATCAGAAGGCAATTAATGGACCAAATCGAGATATATATTTGCTGGCGATCTCGTGGTATCGAAAGGATACCGAGATCGTGTCAGGATACAAGCTTGGCTACAGAACGTAACCGAATTCGCGCGAAGTTACAATCAAAGTGTAAGTATAAGAATGGAAGCACAAAATAGCTGTCATTAGCACAGTCAAACAAAAGCACGTTAAAACAAACACTGGTACAGTTGGTTATAATAATAATTGTTTTTACTAAACCAGTCGTGTTCTCGTGATAAATGTAAGTCACTACAGTACATGTTGAAAATCAGACTGATGACTTAATCGGAAACATTTCACTTTATAAGAGATATGTGGACGATATCTTAGTTGTTTGTGAGAGAAAAGAGGATATGTACTGTTTATTAAATAAACTTAACACTCTCCAAAACCATATTAGTCTCTCATGTGAAGAGGAGAAGAACGATCAGCTTCCCTTCCTAGATATACTTCTGAGTAGACGAGAAGATGGCTCAGTCAAGCGATTCATTTTTCGAAAATCAACGTGGACAGGTCAATATCTTAGTTATTATAGTTATTGCCCTGTGCAATACAAACGTGGTTTGATAAGATGTCTTTTCAACAGACTCGACCGTATTTGTACAAACGACGCCTTTGATGATGATGTTAAGTTGTTAAATAAAACGTTAATAGAAAATGGCTTTCCTCTGAAATTCATGATACAGCGAGACCTACTGTAGCCTCGGTAGAGAAAAAGCCTGTCTACATCACTTTACCATTCAGAGGTGATTCAAATAGCCTTTTATTGAAACAATGACTTAAATCAGTCATCAATAAAACCTTTTGCGCAGCAAAGGTCATCATCAAAGAAAGAACAAGGTGCATACTTCATTCAAAGCCTTGAAGACATGGAAACCATTGCGTCACATCCCACTGTGTTTACCGATTTAAATGTGTGTGTGGTCACACATACATAGGGAGGAGCAATCGTGATCTCAACATTAGGATGTGAACATGTACCGAAATGGCTACAGAAACAAATACAATCAGGTGACCCAATAAGAGCAGAGGATAAACATCCATCATCCTCTATTGCTAAACACATAATTGAAACAGGTCACAAGATTGATCTAAACTCAGCTTTTGTGGTATTGTATAAAAGTGTAAGAGGGCGTATACTAAGGTTTATTGAAGCCTTAGCCATACGAAAATTCAAACCCCCTTTGTGAGTTCAAAAACAGTTCGTTCTTACCTTAAACCTACCCTGGTAATATTGACTTATTATCCAGAGTAACTAGGTTTCGAATTGTGTTCACATTATTACTATTACTCTTATCATTATCCTTATCTCCTCTTACCCCGTTTGCTGTCTAGTTGACCTTTTATTTTTATATAAAAATGCTCTTAACAAGTATATGTGTGACCAGATTTTTAGAAATGTATTGCTCTGATATATCACATAGTTCTGATAATCTTCGTCTTCTAATTACATTGTAGAAATTTATTAAAGGGACTTATTGTTTTAATTAGATTTATAAGGGGATGTCCAGAAGTGTTAATGATGTTGTAAGTTCACTTCTAAGACACCTATACTCTTACGGATAAAGTTTTAGTGGTTGGAGGCGCTCTTTATGTGACTCGAACTTGAATCTCCGAACTGATTTCGTGACTCGCCGTTGGATACGTTACAGTGTCCTTATTTTTCTGGAGTGTGGGGGGAAATAATATGTTCCAGTACTCTAAATAGGGACGAAAGAAACTGTTGAGGATTATGTAGGAA